CATTTTATTAATATTTTGTAATTCAATTCAAATTAATTTATTAATATTATTTTTTATGGGATAATTGATGAAATTGATTAATTTTGATTGATTGAGTAGATATTTACGTAAATTCAAGAAAATTTTATTTAAATTGTATATTAGATTATAATAAATTCTATTCAAGAACACCAAGTATTGCGATACCCTGACAGGGTTCATGTAACGTACTTTATAACATGTATTTAACCATCTCTGTAACTACATGAATGCAATAAATGATTTGATTGATTGATTGATTGAATACGAATCAAAAATGAGGAAATCCGTAGCAGAACTAAAATAACCTCTTTTGCTCTGCTGAAGTGGCAATGGCCCGCCCGTAGCACTTTTGGCTAATTCGTCTACTTTCTCGTTCATATTCAGAGCATACCTATAAGAGATGGACTCCACTGTAGAATAATGATCACATCTTGTTGTTTTAGTAATTGCAGTAATTCCATTACTTTGTACGCTATTAGAGACACCTCACGACTCGTGGTAGTACAAAGCTGAAGGTGTAGAGCGCTTCTTGAATCGGTGAAGATCACACACTCCCTTATCTCAGCAGATCGAACATACGAGATTGCTTCAGCAATTGCGAGGAGTTCCAAGAACATTATTGACGATGTTTGAAGATCAAATGTGGCTAGACCTGAATCAGTTCTATCTTTAGATGCTACCGTATATATCTTTTAATCATTTTAGGGACTCGAGTAAATAGGGATATCTTTATTGATTTTTTTTATTGATTATGTATATTAATAAGCATTGGCTTTGATCTATTTGGCCGCAATCTGTTTTCAAAACATATACTTCCATAAATTTGTAAATACCAGATATGTCTTAAAAAAATATTCAATTCAATTCAATTCAATTTATTGCACTCATGTGGTTACATGGATGGTTACAAGTTACAAAATGCATAAAGTACCTAACATGAACCCTGTCAGGGTATCGCAATATAGATAAAAATAACAAAAGAGAATTTAACAAATAAACAATTATTTATAAGAAGAACCTATTTTTTATTAAACAACTTTTTTCTCAAAGCATGCATAAATGTCATCTGATTTCATTAACTATAACACTAACACATTTATAACTCACTCAATTGATCTTATTTACAGTACTAGCTTAATTGTGTAATTATAATTATGGAAATTCGTTTATAAAATTAAATTTGTCAATAATTAAAATTAATAAATATGTCAATAAAAATAAAATAATATGTCAATAAACATGATTATAATAATCTAGGTTTGTATTTTAAAGATCGCCTCATTAATATTATTTTGTTACAAAGTATTCATCTATGGTGTAAAAGCATTTATCTAATAAATATATTTTCAATTTTGTCCTAAATTGGTTAAAATGTTTTTCGTTTTTTATGTATTTATTATAAATTTTTATACACATATAATATGGACTGCTACTAAGTTTTCTCAATCGAGATGGTGGTAAATATAACCGATTTTTGTGCCGTGTTTTATATTATGTGTTTCGTCAACTTTTTTAAATACGTCTAAATTTTGATGTACGAATAGTGATATGTCTAGGATACATATGTATGGTAAAGTCAGGGTTTTGTATTTTATAAAATATGGTCTGCAGCTTTCCGTATTGTCTATGTGGGCTATGATACGTATACATTTCTTTTGCATTATAAAGAGCTCGTTAGCAGTTGTGCCGTAATAGATAATTGATCCTAGAAAAAAATGGTTTGAAATGCAATATGAATTTTAACAATATTTTTTATAGATGCCCTTTTCATGGTTATGTCTACAATTGACAATTAATATACTTTTTACAAAGAAAAATAAAATAACTCGAATTTTATAGTTTTAATACAGTGCCTCAAAGTATCCTTTAAAAGATTTATTAAATTTCCACGGGCCTACTTATTTATTTATTTATTTATACTTTATTGCACAAATGACGGACTTAATGCCATTAGGCATTCTCCGATACTTATCCGAGTAGATATATTTTTTTAATTGTACCATCCTAAATATAGGACAGTAGGTTCATCTGGGTAGCATCATGTCAGAATCGACAACATTTTCTGGCTTTTCTCTTAGCTTAGTACCAAACGGAGCCTCGTTTCGTGTCTTATTTTTATTTAACGTTATTTGCCTAATTTAATCTTAGATTAAGGCAAATTAAGATTTGGTCGTTGAAACCCCACTAAAAGGAATTAATAAATAATAAAATATTGAATAATGTTTAATCATAAAACAAACTATTTAGTTTTATTATCAATCAATATATAATATCATCAAAAGTAGTACCAATTAGGTGAAATGTCTAAACCTATTTTATCATTAAATAAATCCTGATTGTATTGATGTTGTAACAACATAATGATTTGTTGTTACATTATACTCTTACTGTTGTGGAGTTTTGTTACGCTCGTATTTCTCCGCAGCTAAAAAATATGTCCAATAGCAAGTGGTACGTAAAAAAATTGAACGATTCAAAAGAGTTGTACTATACATCCAATTTGAATAAAGATATATTGATTTCTGATTTTTGATTGTTCCCCAGACGCTAGCTTAGTAATGATCGGCCATATGAAAGCCTGAAAAATTATATTTTTATTTGAAGTTAACATTAACAAGATCCAATATCCAATTGGATGTTGTTAATGTAATGAATTCAAAAAGCGATTCTGTCAACGTGGCAAACAACTAATTTGTAGTTCTACGATTATCTAAACAAGGTTTTGTATAGTCCGACTATGATAGCATTAAGCTGATATAGGATGCCTATTTCTTTTTAAAAATAATATTACTAGAAAAAAATCCACGTGGACCAGGCAGCAAACGGGTCTCTAACCCGCACCATTCGCTATCCAGGCGAATGCACTGACCAGTATGCAACCGCGTGTCTAATTCTTTCCTTTTTCATAATCAAAAACGGGGTTGGAAATCAATATGTGATTGATGTAATTAAAAACTTGTGAAATCAATATTAAATAAATATAAATATTTCCAACACTCACACCAATTAGCCTAGCCCCAAAGTAAGCACTGTAAAGCTTGTGTTAGTGTTATGGGATGCTAGGGTAACGGATAGAATACATATACAGTACATATATAAGTATATTTATATAGAAATACATATTAAACATCCATGACTGGAGTACAAATGCTCGTATTCATCACACAAACATCTGCCATCACCGGGATTCGAACCCGGGACCTCTCGAGTCGGCGACACCATGGAACCCGGCGTACAAACCACTCGGCCACGGAGGTCGTCATTGTAATCATGATGAATTATGGTTATATACTACATTTTAGTGAGTGTTCTAAAGTGCTGCACGATTTAGTGCCCCCAACTCTATCCCACATTGTAATATGAAATGAGAGGAGGGTTTTTACGGGTATATTTTACAGACCCGTAAAAACAGACTTGCTTCCAGCTTTCTAGTGTAGGATGTTTGCAGTCCCTTCGTCTGTTTTTAATGATCGTTCTGACTTGAGTGCCTGACGAGAAATAAGTGGCATTTACTGCCTGCGCGTATCCATCATAGTATGTATTTTTGCTTACCACTAGTCAAAATTGGTGATAAACGTGCAAATTTTTTACATAAATAGGTCCGAGGAAATGACAGCATCTTAGCTGAACTTAAGTGACGCTGGAGTCCAAACGTGAAGATATTTAGAAAGTTAGTAAATTAGTTTTATATGCCACACCATTCCTCCTCAATTTGCTGGCGAGCAAGTTTTTTTTTAGTGTATATTCTGTTGGTCGCAGATGACCTTTACAGCGTCACCGGGGTTTGGGGACGGCGAGACCCTAAGGGGACTTCAAGCAGAGAATTGCCGAGTACCTGTAGAGGATGGAGTACCAGGCAGATGGTATCTCCCTACGGGGGAGTGTCCTCTCCGTCTGGAGCCTCTAGAGTCTAGACCACTCGAACCTGAGCAGTCGAGCAAGTTGCTTCTTCACGCTTCTTTTCTTCTTTTAAATGACTCCTGTTTGTAGAAGGGTGGAAAGGAATACGCGAGCGGGCAAAGCTTTCAATTTGGATTTTATTATTTTGGACAAGTAAATGAGTCATCAAATCTCTTAGTACAGGTAGGAATAGCTGCCTAGCTAGAACAGTTACCATAATATTTTATACTATTTATAAAAAAAAAAAAAAAAAACCATTTCCTAGTAATATTATAAATGTGGAAGTTTGCATTTTGTGTCTTTGTATGTCAATCAATCAATCAATTTTATTGCTTTACCATCACGTACAGAAATGGTGTTCATACATAAATAAATTAATATTATGTTAAGTTTGTTGATTTAATTTGTTTAGAGGTCCCTGTTTTCGCTTTTACAATAAAGTTCCAAGCAATATTCAAGAGTTAAGCCTGACTAAATTTAAAACCATTATAAAATAACTTAATAAGAAAGCTTATTATAAAGTGTCTGATCATATTACAGACAAAAATGCTTGAGTTTGAACTGTTCCAACCATTCCAATGGGTATTTCTAGAGGGTATTTTTTCTTCTTCTATATGATATATATTATAAATCATGTGTTGACGATACTTCTATTGAATTTAAAAGCTGTGTTTAAAGTTGATTATTTAAGGAAGAATATCTTACTATTTAAGAACATTTGAATGACAAAACGGCGTGGTCATGATTTCTCCATTGTTTTTGTTTTGTAATTATTTGCAGTGACTTACAGACAAATTACTTTAATTTTAAGTAAATATTTTGTTGTTAATATAGGTGGTTATGAGTAGTCATGCTCTCTTAAAAGTATTTTCGGTGGTGTCGTTACATTCCCTAAAATATGGTTGAACGAAGCGATGGCTGGTTCATGCGTCACATAATAAATGACTTGTATTACGACTTGGGATACTTTTTATCCAGGTAAACAGTTAAGTTACTGTGGGATTCTCAAAAAACTAAATGCCGCCGAAGTCGCGGGCAGCCATTAGTTAAAATAAATTAATAAAAATTCGGTTACTTACCAGTTCTCCGTTTGCAACGAGGATGTTCTCGACAGTGCTATTGAAGTAGTAGACGTCGGTGAAGTTGGTGCTGTTGGTGAGCAGGTAGCCCTGGCACTCCTGGAGGTTTGTAGATAGACATGAGCGGTTCTTCAACTTCTGTAGCTTCCTGGAACAAAACTCTTTGTTAAATCGCTCATTTGCTTTCAAGACAAGACTTAATATGTGTATAGGATTGATTGTTTTTTTGAAGTGAAAACTTCTTTAGCGGCGTTGTACACTTTTTTTTGTACGGGTAAAAATTTTAAACTCGCGTCAGGTTAAACACGTGGGCTGATCGCACCATGACACACAATAAAATTGAAAAGGTTGTTAACTTTCAATATATTGGACGAAACATAGAAACATTTTATTTTACCGTATTGTAATAATAATTCTCTATCTAGAACGTCCACGTGGCAGCTTTATTGCCAAGAAAATGCATTTTTTTACCATAGATGTCGCTAGGTGCGCTTAAACGTGATTCATGTAAGTTGATTTTTCTGAGAGCTAAACTTTTTTAATGTAATATAAATTGTCATGTTTTTTTACGATAGCGCAATAAATAAATATTGTATTCTACCACATACATGACAGTACTTTTATACTAATATTTAAAGCAATTCGTGCAAAATTATTCCCTAACCATTCCAAAATATCAAAAATGCACAACGTTAATATTCAAGTTTTCACTTCTGCCAGCACTCCCGGAGTGCAACCCGTCGTTTTTTTTAAGTGAGACTTGTTTAAGGACAGTGTGTAAATGGATGGGTTAGTCGGCGAAGGCTGAACTGAAACGCTACGAGTGTCACACGCAACAATATAAGTCGGACCAAAACCGAATCGGACCAATTTTCCCAAAAATATATTTAGATCAGCTTAGCACAGTAATAATAACAATACAAATTATAATTAAAGAAAGAATTATGAAAGTACCAAATTGCCGCTACACTACATGACAGTACAGTATCTCACGAAAGATGACACGCGGAATAATAATGAAACGAAAATTATCTACCTAAAATAGACCCTATTTTCGAACGATGAAAATGATTGCAGGACCTCTCAGGTGCCATCTTTCGTAAATCAGACTAGACAGTCACACACTTCCACAGAATTTATTGGAATTCAGCACAACCAATTCACCAGTGAAACAGATTTACAAATCATAGGCAGTAATAAATACAGCACAGATCATAGATATGTTGAATATCTTTAATCTGAGATCCAGTTACGATTTTTCCAGATATGAATTTAGCTGGATCGTGATATGCCGCTAATATTTAAAAAAATATCGATTTTGATACGAATTTCGATATTGGTTTTTTTGTATCGATGTATCGATATATCGAATCAAAATATATCGGCTAAAAATATCGATATATCGAACAAAAAATATATATACATCGATATATTTTCAACAAGCCCACTACACTTTAAAAAGTAATTTACAAAACTAGTTGAGTTAACCGAAGAAAAGCCAAACTTTATTTACTAATAAAAAAAATCAGTCACTCATAGACTAACTGTTCTTTTGCATTTTATATTATCATTTTAATTAATCGAATCAATCGATCAACCACACTTGAAGTGATTATTTACATAGAGTTGGCCGAACTACGACTATTTTGTGTTAGCAAGCACAAAAACCACAAAGAGTAACTGAAAAGTGTTGTAACTGTTAGCCAACGATATTAAATACCCTAGATACACCAACACGAACAAAATCGTGCCCAAAACCTGTCCAAAAGGTACATTGAACGATTTACGGAGCGCCGTAAGACGATCGCGTAGTCAAAATCAATATAAGGTATTATTTAAATATTGAAAGTAACATTTAATACATACTGTATAAGGTCTTAAATAAAACGCATGCGTCAAGGACTTCTGACAGTTCGAAATGCAAGCTCGTAAAATTTTACGACTTATTGCTATATGCGGAAGAATTTAGACTTTAGTTCTTTGACTCTACGCGCAATTCTGAACGCGCTGTTACCTATATAGCAGGCACGGACCGTGAGGAAAAGAAACGGCTATATGGCGACGTATAACCGACCATGCATTTGAATATCACATTTTTTTTATATTAAATTAGTTTATAGTAAGTATTAGATCAAAATTTGCTTCAAATGCGTTCAATTAACAAACATGGTCGAAAAAACGACACTTTTCGTACTCTAAATATTATTTTCGCATGTTTTCGCGGAGCTCTGTGGCATCTTGACTTTGTAACGGTCCGAACGTGACTGTGAACCAAAATGTGCTTTAGTGGAGTTCAAGCACTTCTTGATTGGGACACATCTTGAGCGCTCGTGGTGTATCTAGGGTATTTAATATATAGTTTACCCCCAGTACTTACTTGTTAGTAAGTTTAGAGTTGAAAGCACAAAAGTACTTTATGCAAATAAGATCATAATAATCAGTTATAATTCATTAGAAAATAATGTTGCAGATGATAAAATAGTTCGGTTATAAATAACAGTAAAGTTAAGCTATACTAAAGCAATCATTTTGTAACCAATTACAGAACAAGTGTAAGCATAAACAAAACAGTTTTTTTAATTTTACATAACATTTGTTATGACAACAAAACCTATTTTAACAAAACCGAGTTTGTCTACTACTCGTATAGTTATGTAACAACAAAAATTTTTGCTATAAGCAACTCAAATTTTTTTTCAGTGTAATATTAGGTTATTTAGGATGTGCACACATTTTTTTTTTAATGGAGAACAAGCATTCCTCCGTTGAGTAATGGTGACAGAATCCCTGAGCTTATACAGACACTTGAAACACCCAACATCTAAAAAGAGGTATTACACCTGATTGAATATATATCCGTTGTTTTGGAAATCTTATACACTGACAGAAGTAGAACATCTCCAAAAGATATCATTATTTCACTGTGATCTCCTGAAAAGTGAAGGTGATATTATAATACACTAGCTGACTCGGCGAACTTCGTACCGCCCAAAAGTAATAATTTGCAATAAATTAAAATTGCGACTATAATTTGAGATTTAAACTATCCTATCTCTCAAGTTGGATCGAACTGCACATGGTGTGCGTATTTTATTATAATCGGTTCAGTGGTTTAGGAGTCCATTGAGGACAAACATTGTGACACGAGATTTATATATATTAAGATTACATCATATGTTTCTTAAACAGGATTGCCTGTGCTACAGAAGTCTTATTCATGACAGAGTATAAAATTGCAATCCCTTAACCACAACTTAATGACGCATTATCATTCGAATGCATTTTTTGAAATTTTATAATTAAGTTAGTTTAGAATTTTAATTTCACAATAGCATTGTGGTACTTTTAATTACAGCGGATACTATAAGGATCTGTGAGGAGTGGAGGAACGGTAAATTGTTTCACTAGAATTAGAATTTTTATTATAAAGATCTATACATTAAATGCGTATCCAAATCGGGTGCGGCTTAAGTACAACTGTAAAAAGTAACTGTGCTTTTTGATCAACTCTTATCAATCGGTTCAAAATTTTAAATCTTGTATGATAGTATGTAGTGCGCAAAGGGCGCACGAGTCCAACTTGCGGTTATTTTCTTATTCCCAAGAAACACAGCAATTCAAGATCTTTTAAAAATATTACAACATCATAAAGACTCTTTCACGAAGAAATTTTACTCTTTCACGCACATTTTGTGCGAAAAATGGATGTCATATTTGTGGAAAAACAAAAAAAGGTTACAAATATTTGGTCGTGAAATGGTTCAATTCCAGCCCTAATATTTGGATTTCATGTTTGTTTGACCTGCTCCGACAAGTCCGACGTGCTCTCGAAACCGCTCTTCAGCTCAGTCCATGTTATTAGAATGTGGCGTGTATTTTGGCTGAAGTTTTTTGGAGTCGAGTTTGTAGGCCCACTTGAATCGAAGTTCTTGATATAATAATAATAAATATTTCAAACACTCACACCAATTAGCCTAGCCCCAAAGTGAGCATTGTAGGCTTGTGTTATGGGATACTAGGGTAACGGACAGAATACATATACTGTATATTTATAAGTATATTAAACATCAATGACTGGAGTACAAATGCTCGTATTCATCACACAAACATCTGCCTCCACTGGGATTCGAATCCAGGATCTCTCGAGTCGGCGACACTTTGAAACCCGGCGCACAAACCACAATAATAATAATAATCTATATTTTCCCACTCACGCCAATTAGCCTAGCTTCAAAGTTATGGGATGATTGTCATTCTCTTCTCAGTTCACGGCTACAAAGCTTTGTTTCATAATATAACTTGCCTTAACAGCTTTGATTAAGAAGTGATAGATCAATATGTAAAACATACCGTGCAGTGCATATGAGCATATGAGTTCCGCCTATAAGCTGCCGTAACACAGCTTCGGAGTACATTTTTTATATATAAAGCCAGGTAGGCCAATGACACTACTCCACAATAAAGTCCAAACGCGAAGATACTCGTAGCTAGTACAGCACTTATAAACTGCTACACAAGCCATCTTCACCTTGCCAGCCTGCAAAAATGCTTGTCTACGCCTCTTTTAAAGGACCCCAGATTGTAAAAAGGAGGGAACACGTGCGCGGGAAAAGAATTCCACTTACGAATAGTACAACAAAGTAATGAGTCACCTTTCTTTTATACATATCATAAATCAGCTAGCCAACACATGCAATTGATTTGAATTCCCAGATAAGAATTTGAACATCCTGTGATTTAAATAATTTCAGAACACAAAAACCAACTCTCCATGATTCGAGTTCAGAAAGTATAATTACATTTTGTCTTAACAGTAATCATATCAGATTTATGTAAAGCACTGTTTTTTTGGCTTGACTCGGGGAGTAAGCTGGCGAACGAGTTACGCGTTACCAAAAGTGTGTTCGGGCGAGGCGAACGGGAGTTGAGTGCGGGATATAAGGAAGAGAAAGCAGTTCGCGCGCACATTTTCTTTCTCTCTTTCTCTTATAGCTAGTAAATGAAATATGTATATGTGCATACATGTATATATTGTACACACATTATATATATATACTGATGTAGCTAAAGAAGTTTCACTTGAGTCGTGTGGTCATAAGCACAGGCATTTTTTATTTTATGGAATTCATTTCACAATGTAAGGAAAGA